CCCCCTGCCCGCATCCCCCTGCCCTCATCCCTCCTGCCTGTATCTCCCCCCCAGCATCCCCCCTGCCCGCATCCCCCCTGCCCTGTGCCCTTCTCCCACCCCTCCACTGGGACTGGGTTCTGCTGCAGGAGCATCCCGCACCTCCTGTGAAGCCCCTATCCCAAAGTGCGTCTGCCCCCCCCGTCCCTCCCCTGCCAGGGCTCCCGCTCTGCGTCCTTTTCACTTTCAGATGGGACTTAGCGGGGAGAGCCCCAGGGACGAGTTAAACCTGTGCGTTGCTGTGCGGATTATCCTGGTAATCGCATCTGCTTACAGGGTTCGGGAGGGGAGCGTGGCCCCGATCCCCGCTGGGACCTCGCCTGCTCTCGGGGGCACCGCAGCCGGGGCTGGCGGATGTAGTGGGAGCGTCCCCGGGGGGGGCTCCATGTGCCTGATTTTGCCCCCAGAGCCTCAGTGGTGGCTGGGAGAGCAGCAGCGAGGGGTGCCATGGCTGGACCATGGAAGGGACGTGCCCGAGGCCGGCAGCGATGGGACTGGGGCTTCTCCTGCCCGTCCTCGCCCCGGGCTGCCCCTTTCCCACTCCTGTCTCTCCACCTTGTTCCCTCCCTGTCACGTTGCACTGGCTCTGCCTCGTCCTGCCCGCGCCGCGTGCCCTGCCTGCGCCGTGTGCCCTGCCTGCGCAGGCAGCCGCAGATCCCGGGCTGGGCGCAGGGGGAGAGGGCACACCGTGCCGTTGCCCTTGACCTGCCTGCGCCGTGCGGCCGCTCTGTGCGATGCTGTCGGGCTCCATCCAGCCTCGGCTCTGCAGCCGGGGGGGAGACTGAGTTTCACTGCCGGGGGGTTAATTTCTTATTTTCTTTCTTTTTTCCACCCCTTTGAATTCACCTTTTCTGGACCTTAAAAATATTAAAGGAGAAGGAACAAGTCCTCAGCCCGTGGCTGTTTGCATCCAGCAGGACACGTCTCTACCCCCCGGGTTTGCCTGCGCGGGTGCCCCGGGGTGAGAGGGGCTGAGACCAGGCAGGGACCGGGGACGCGGCCGGGGGGACGCCCCGCTCCCACGGGAGCT